CCCTAAACTGGCCGTTTCAGGGTCCTGCAACGGACTACGAAACCTTTCACTTTAAGCCAGAATGGTTACCGACAGCGGGGTCCATTGGCCGCCTCAAGGTGGCTTTCTTTGACGAGCCACTTGCAACCCATCCTGATGCTATCATATACGGACCCCCACACCTGCGGTGACTTCCCGAAGACTGGATACCCTGAAACCCTCCGCCTACCCTGCCTCAACCCCAGGTAACCAACCGAAGTGGTAGACAAGTCAAATGTCCGATCTGTTTTTCATATTTTGTAAACGTTTGGTATTTCCATTAACACGCGTTTCACCCGTAAACGTTTTGCAAAATGGACAAAAACTTTCAAAACACCTGAAAAACAACAAGCCTATTTGGTTTTATCATACATGACATGTTTCCTCCCCAAGGTCAAGCCACTCCGCGACCCTCGCCCATCCCCTCTGAGTTCTACCTACTAGAAACGCAACCACCGGAACTGCCAGAGCAACCTTCGAGTGACTCACCAAGCGGCTCAAGGCCCTTTCTTGACCCAAGAAACAGTCAGTCGCCCTCGACCGCGGACTACCACGACCGAATTGGTCCCCAAACTCCTGGCTACGCGTTGTCGACGAGGACGTCCGGATTTCTTCCTTAGACGGGGACCATGGACTAGGGGGGGACTGACAACTCCCAGGTGCACCGTTAGGTTAGCAGCGGAGGAAATATCCTATCGGCCAATTTCTGGACTAGGTAGTTTTTTACAGTCTGACAAGCCCACGCCGACGGCCCACCAATGATGAACTCTGGTCCACACGATCATCATAAATACTAAATTACCAACTTAGACCCAGCAAACTCCGCTACGCACCCGATCTTGGAAGCCCGTTTTCAAGCTCATGCTACTATTTGCTCCCATCCTCACCCGTTTACCCCATTGACAGCTCTATCGAAGTCTTCCATCTTTCAACTTTCTAGGGGGAGGCCATTGTAGTGTACTTGAAAACACTCTCAGTACTTTACAACATTGCATTTTTCTGTTGTTTGAACCTTCACAGATTTCATTTGTTTTACTGACGGCACTTCCGTTTTTACAAACTGCTTTGTGCGTCCCGTGCTATACCGTTCCTTGCTCTTGTTGGTTCGCTTCCTAATTTTCTAGCCTGTACAATGCACGTTGGGTTCAGTTGCCTCCAACTTCTCTGCTGTATCGTATTTGACACGTCTCTTACATGTCCTTGTTACTGACTAGTATCCCTGGCGCCCCCCCCAACAAGCTTAGGATTGTTTTCCTTGGAACGGCGGGGATTCAGAGGGGATTTGGTGGAGACGTTTAAGATCATTAACGGTCTCGTTGCTATCAATCCTATTCATCGGACCACATACACGGGCATCATCTGAAGCTCAAACAACATAGGGATCGTTTGGTCATCAGGGCGAAACTGTTTGCGAACCGGGTAGTTCACATCTGGAATAAACTTCCTACTGATTTAGTGGAATGTGCGACTGTAGAAGCCTTCAAAAGAGGCTTAGGTAAGTGCTGATCTGACCTGTTTTCAGAGATATTGTAATTCGACTGGGATATGTAGTGTATTCTGATGCTGACGCATGAAGGTGCAAAGATTGCTTTTGTTCTTCCTTTATATTTTTGCAGAAGCAAGGAAAGTCGATCTAACGTCGAAATAATTTTAATATATTCGTCCCAGCAGCTCACAAGCTACGTAGCTCAACCACAGTCCGAAAAAGCACCAGACGCGTTTTGCCCTATTGGGGCTCATCAGTGGTGCGCATACCCTCGGTCCCCAACGTCGAAGTGCCGGAGCCTGTTTTTCCCCTTCCGGCACAAGAAACACGACGCTTGTCAGGCGAAAGCGTCTATCGTCCGTTTTACCTGACCTGACCTGCTAGTGCAGGGCACGTGGGCATCGACTGGTTGACCGCGGTGTCGCGCGTGCCGACTGTACACCCTCAGCAGACAAATCGATTCGCCGAAACGTACCCCGGATCAACGACACTTTCACATCCATGGGATACTTTTATATTTCCTGTCCCATTTGAACTATAGGTAAGGAACAAATCGCCAAACGGACTAGCTAAGAAATAGAAGTAATGTAGCGCGACAGACGTATCTCGAATGCTTGCTTATTTTTTGGATCTACTCATTAAGCTAGCGAAGGAATAGTAGGTATTTGATGCTCACTTACTGTATTTTGATGGGAAAAATTGGCCCTGAATTGTCTTCGCTTTTTAGTCCTGACTAGTTACCTAGTCTCCGTTGTTACCCGTTGAAGTTGCACAAACCACGGTTTGATCAGATTAAGGCAGAAACTCGTCTGTCGCGCCATTATAGAGTGCTGGAACTCGCTGCCAGATCACGTTGTTAAGAAATCTGCGATCAAGGGTTTTGTACGTCAGCTCGATGGTCTTGGGTGGAAACACCAAACTTATACTTTCCCCTAACTGACTCGTCTCTAGCTTTCAGTTTTGTATTTTTAGTTTCCTACATATTTTAATATTATACTTATTTAGCTTCATTCCTCTTCTTGTCTTCTGATTTTCTGTTTCCTCCTTATTACCACGTAATCGGCGAAGCAGGGACTGCTAGTGCAGGATACATGGACAGTAATTGGTTGGTTGGGTATGATACGGTTTTTGTTTTACGTCCATCTGTATTTCAAAGCTCTTCGTTCATCGACACTCACGGGATAATCCTACCGTTCCAGCCCCACAAACTTAACGAATGCAAGAGCCCTACTGACTCCGTGCTTTTGCCCTACTCGATAACATTGGTAGGGCTGATCCCGAAGTCCTTATCAGTGAAGAGGACGAGAACCAACTCGTCCCAGCCAATCATTGTGTTTCTTCATACTCATCTGCTGTCATCGGCTGACCTGGTTCCACACAACCAGGTGCAACGTTGGAAAACAGGACATGCCGAGACAGCCAGCTGGTTGGCATACGGAACGCAGAGTCTAGCCGCCGAAGACAAATCAACTTCAGCAGGCACGTCATCGACAAAGCACCAGAAAGCCGGTTAACCAGTATTGCGTTCTGCTCTTCGGAACAGCTACTGCGCCCACGGAGCATATTGGTAGCGGAGATACAATCCCGGTTGTCGCTCGGCATGTTACTCGTTGTTCTCACTTCGACCCTTCATCCCAGCGCCAACTGGAAGAAGTCTATCCATATATCGGCTCTTAGCCGATAAGAAGTCCTTGTGAACCCGTCGGCTCAAAACCAATGATTTTCTCCTTTCAATTAGAAGGGTCAGCCGAGGGTGGGCTTCACGAACAATCACGTAATGGCTTCATACGGCCTAGCTGCTAAATCGTAGAACAACTTGTGGCGAAGGGCATTCTCTCGTGAGTTTCTGCTACCGTAGAAGCTTAAGTACCTTGGTCTGTGAAACTGAGATATCTATCGACAGCCAATTTGCCTGAACCCTCATCTCTGTCAATTTGTAGCATCAGACTCCTTAACAAATGCTCTTGCGTACTGATGTGCTAGCAAGTAGACCTTTGCTTGGTATGTGTGGGCAGCAGAGCAATCGGAACCAAACAACGCTGGTAGAAATGGGCTTAATTTGCTTTGTTTCTTACACGAATCGATTTGGGTAGGTTGCAATTGAATTGGCTAATTCGATCTCATTGCTTAATCGTATTGTACGTAAGTATATTTTTGCACACATTTCGTGGATGTCGATAGCGCTGAAAATTACCACCTATGGGAGTTGACAGGTAATTCCGTCAGCACTTTTCCTTCTGTTTACCATGATGCGCGCAACTGCGGTTTTCACTTTCCCATCTTCACTGCGATTCGAATATGATGGAGAGATCACAGTAAGATAAAGCTTGATGTAGGTCCACGCAGTTTGCACATCCTCATCCAGGGAAGTAATGCAAGGTGAAGTTGCAGTCTTAGCTCTGATTGCGGAGAAATCCGCTCGCCATATATTCGGTCTTCCGTTGTCGGGTTCAGCACGGTATCGAAAGAAAGCACATTTGAATGCCAACCAAATTTTGGAGGCGTTTCTATTTGCATCCATTATTTTCATCCGAAGCAAGGTTTTCCGTCTACAGACCTTTCTTCATTGCCTCTACGAGGCTTAAGAGACTCATTTGAGTCTTGTCTTTGTGATGTATTTACCCTCATGCTTGACACTGAATATATCTACGACTTCAGACTGATCAGTGCTAGGTTGCAGGACTTTGTGCAAAGATCATTTATGCATTGGCCTCTTTCTCATTGTGTCGCTCCTGTCCACTGTCTTCCGCTGCGACATTGATTACAAGCAGCCTTCAACTTACTCGCTTTAGCTGTTTTCACAGACTCCACGAACGCTTCTGGCTCGGTTAATCACATCGAGCAGTATGAAGGAGACTCCATTCTGTCGAACATCCAAGGTCGTGCAAGCGTCCACATGAAGTTGTCTCCTGAGTTTACCAATACAAGTGAGGTGTATCAGCTTTGCTCCATGTCAACATTCTCTCCGGATTTATGATTGTAAATGGTCATCTTAACTCATAATACTAATAGTCCTTGGCACCGTTTCCTTTCTTTTTACAACCACAATTTTGTGTTATTGGGCCACAGTAGCTGAAGTGTTTCTTATCTCCAGTTAAATTTGGATGCTAATGGTGCGATGCTATTCTTCCAGTTTTTACCAGGACGGACTTTACGCTTACAAGCTTTCCGTGTGCGGATGTTTCGGTTCTCATGGTTCGAACACGGATTTCGTAGAACACAACTGGGACGACGGACAGAGAGGGCTGCACTCCTCGATACTTGGTACCAAGCACTGGCTGCAGCTACACCAAACTAAGACTTATTTTGAGATGTTTTTTAGAACCGCTACCTTTGGATGGTTGTAGTTTGATGCACGGGCGATTCAGTATACATTTTTGCACAGTCGTACGAAATTTCTGTTTATAAGGATGTTCTCAGTGTTCCTTTTTCATTCTCATGGAAGGCTTTCGTCTTGTGAAATATTTACGCTTTCTGCTATCTTATTCTATTGCAGCTCCGGGCATTACTCCCTCACTTTGTAGTTTCTCTACGTACAAAATGACGAGGGCATCTTTGCGTCGCAGGATCAATACATCGAAGGCTCAGAGACACAAATTCCAATATAGTGTTCGGAATAGTGGTGTGCCCCAGCTAGTAAAGGATACATCGGATTCGAAACCTTGTGACATAATGGACGACGATGGTTTTGTTTTGACTCTCACTAAACGAGAGAGGCGTTTGCTAAAGAGTGCGCAATTCCCATCCGAAACCAGCGAAGACCCCATGAAGGTTGTGGTAGGTGTGTTGAGAATTTTACAAAATCATGTATATTTTCTTGCATTGATTAATTCCTTTTTGATGTTCCATCATAATGCGTTTTTCTCACTCATCACTAGGGTAAATAAAACACTAAGGAGTCTGGTCGTGTTTGTATCGACCACTTCGCCAACTTTTAGAACACTGGTACACATCCAGACAACCGACTGTGGTGGTTTTCTTTGACTTGAAAGCCGCTTTCGACTCTGTTGTCCGCACCAGTTGTGGCACTGTCTATCCATGAAGGGCGTGCCTTGTATTTCCTTTACATTATGCGGTCTCTGCAGTGACTCCCGAAGCCATGTAAGGGTCTACGGGAAACTGCCTCCTGATTTTCCAACGACAAGTTGGTTCGCCGGGATTGTCCTACTTATCCTTTCCTCTTTTTTGATCGAGATGATAATGAACGATTCGAGTCTCTCAGATTATGCCGGAGTGGAAGTTCTGCCATGTGAACGACTGACAAATCTTGAGTATGCAGACGACATTGCTCTCCTTGCGTCTGACGCAGTGGCTATGCAAACGCTACTGGTTAGACTGACGCGTAGCGCTGCACGCTTCGGCAAGTGCTTTGCACCTTCAAACTGCAAAGTACTGTTGCAGGACTGGAACGGCACACCTCTGGTTTTAGCTATTACCGAACACCCATTGTATTTGGTAGATCGTTTCACCCATTTTGGTGGCTGTATCATCGCTGGTGGTTACATCACTGAGGAAGTCGTATCGACAAGGCCCGTGTGGTTCTCTAGAAATTCAAGCATCTATGGAGACTGCGAGATATCAGCCTGTTAGTGAAAGACAGGTTGTATAACGCTGCGGTAGGCCGGTTTTACCGTATGAACCAGAGATCTGGCCAGTTCGCGGCGAAGACATTCAACGCTTGGTCGTGTTTGACCGCCGGTACTTCCGGAGTATTTCTCACATCTGGGGAGAACACCAGACGAGCGATGGGGAGGTCCACCAGTTGGTTTTTGACAAGAAGCCTTCTGGTACCTTACTAGAGTGTTTGCTGAATCTTAATCGTTTGCGTTGGCCAGGTCATGTTCTCCGAATGCCCGTTGACCGACTTCCTCGGTGTGCATTATACACCATGGCTGCACCCAGTTGGGCGAAACCGCGAGATGGCCACTCCATGACTTGGCATAGGGGTATGACGAAATTGACTGAGAGACTTGGTCAGGCTGGTTGCGTGCCGTCTTCGTGGAGACCGTATCAGACATGACGCAATCACACAGTCAGTGTCATTCCTGCGTTCGGTTTCTTTCATCTGGTTGTTAATTTTCCTTCCATTCTGGTTAGGTTAACGCACTTCCTTCCACTTTCTTTATATTTGCCTTTAACCACACTATGCTGCTGTTGTTATTTCATTGTTCCTCTTTTGATGTGAGTCATGACAACTGGATCCACCGCACTTCGGTGCTCGGACCATAGTTGTTCAACTGAACTGAAGGGAGCCACATTTTGCGGAACCAGCGGACTCATTTCGTAGCGTAATATAATTTTACATAATAATTTTTCTTTTTTCCTAGTAGCCGGCTGGTAGCTTACCGGAACGATGTCTATCCGTTGCTGGTAGCTCAGCTGGCATGCAACTGTTGTATTTATTTTCCTTTTCCTTTTTGTATTGCCGCACAGTAGCTGAGGTGTTTCCCACCTCCAGCTAACTTGTATAATGATGATGATGATGATGATGCTGCTGCTGCTGCTGCTGCTGCTGATGATGATGATGATGATGATGATGATGATGATGATGATGATGATGATGAACACGTTTGATTGGATACACTAGTTGACATGGCTAGGAGCCTACCTCAGCGGCATTTGTGTTGTGAGTTTCCCCTCCAACAGCGATCTCATATTGCGTTGCTACTATAACACTCAACATTATATGATTTTCTGATTAGTTTTTGTATTCTGTAATGTTTAGTATCTCTGTCTTCGTATATCTCATCTTTTATTTTGCGGCGCAGTTAACGGAAGTGTGTTTCTTACCTTCAGCTAATATTTAACGATGATGATGAATGACAGAGGCCATTACCATTTCCGATGCACGGTGACACCACGACGCTTCACCATCTATCTTCTGACTAGCACACAATTTATCTCTGGGGCCTTTACGGGTCTCATTGTGTTCTGTTCCGACGGGGATGTCTTGACGGGCATCCAGAGGTTTAGAGACTGCGTAGAGACCCGATGTTCTGGTCGACAATTTGCTTTGCCATTTGAAAACGTACCTACTGCTAATAACGTCCAGCGAGCATGCAACCAGTGACTTTCAGGTTCATTCAGTGGGCGTTTACTCAGCACGAATCATAGCGTGTTTTGATACTCATTCAAAACATCTGGTTTCGCCAGCTAACAGGTTCACGGTGTTGTTGCTGATGTCCACTGAAACGCATTAGCAGGTCGACGCTTGGAGGTGCGTTTTCGGAGTTTACGCGACAGATTTGGACCTAAGCTGTCCATGGGTAACTGATCGCGAAATGATAGATTTGCGTCCATGGATGGTCCCAGGCTTGTGAGTGCCATGTAACGCATCGACGGATGCTGCGTCGAAACTTATTGCTTGCGAGAAATAGACGGGCATTTTTACACAGCTGCGGCTACCTTCAACCGTTATCCTCACGGGAGCCTACACCGTGTTGGCAGATTAGATACTGTTTATAAGTGGACAGTCTTGCAACTTTGGCGTTCAGATCACCAGCCATCACCACAGAATCCTTACTTTTTCTATAACGAAGTCTTTCACTTGCTGATAGAAGTCATCTTTCACTGAGTTAGCGTAACAGTTTACGAGGGCGTAGGCAGCAATGACAACAGGCACCGTTTGTCCGCGTGCGACTCCGTAGCTTTGAACGAGCCAGCGAACCTGACGGCACACGTCCGCCTGTTGATTGGGATCCAGTCTACAAGACCTGCTTCAACTTGAGAGATCAGAGCAAAGCTCCGACCGCTTTGACGCCATCTGAATCTGTATTGTCTCCGGACAGACCGAGAAGTGCTGCCATTACCACATGAAGGGATCGCTAGTTGAGCGGGTTTCGGATAAACATAAGATGTCGATCGATATGGTGTCTGGTGTTTGGGCAAGTGTTGCCTGTTGGCCAATGTCACTATAGATATACCGGCTGCGTTTTTGTTCACAACTGACTCTTATGTCTTGTAGACCAGGATCCATAATTTGACTGCTCCAGGCTGATGATTATGTGCTAATCTTGGTAGATAGAGTTCCCAATGCTCCCTTTGCGGCTCTAGTCTACAGTTACTCTCATCCAATCGAATGTCCTCCGTCTAGTTCTCCAATTTTAACAAAAAATCCTTTTTCCTGTACTTAAACTTGAACCGGTCATTTTAGGAATGTCCTGACGAACCGGAGAATACTCCTCCCAAGCAAGTCGCCTATGCACCAGATGATGGTTTCGAAGTGTCGTCAACCATTTCTAAAAGCTCCGTTCGGAGACAGCTCAAAGGCCCACATCGTGGTGGTATCAGCAGACCAAGTTGCAGCAAGCGCTCTACCGAAGTGGTGCGTCGTGCGCTGTTCCGTGCTCAACTACACTTGCAACACACCGTTCCTACGAGCAATGCTCGAGTTGATAAGGTATTTCCAAGCCAATCCGCAATCCCGACCAAATCCGATCCCGATGTGCTTTCTAAGCACGCGTCCATCATCAGCCAGTGGGCTTCCAGAGCATCCAGTACTTCAAGCACTCCGAAACGAAAGCGGAAAAAGAAAAATAAGCTTGAACCCGAGGCGGACTCCTCATCAACGAAAAATCCCCCACCTACAGATCCTTACAAGGTGCATCGACACTCCGTGTAAGTATCGTCTGTGTGCCTTCAAACGATGTGACATTCCCATCCTCATCATCATCATCCATCATTTGACTTTGTCATTAGCTCAGAAGAATAATTGTTTGTGCGCAAGTAATTCTCCTCTCGGGAGTCATCGGAAGCGCACGTCTTCGTCTGAATCATACTCGGACTTTTGACCATAGGTACACTGTCCATGGAAGCGATCAGATAATTGGCCATCATAAACCGCATTTGCTCTTCAACAATACTACTCGATAATACCACGTTTTGTATAGCTACGTTCATTCCAAAACACACTCACGGTAATTTACGTATGCTTCTTAAGATGCCGCAAGTTAATTTTTGGCTGTTGGAGAGGTGCTTAATTCAGTAGGTTATCACTGCAGTAACTTTCGTGGCACTAGCGAATCAACTTTTGTTTATTAGACCTTTGTGCTTGTCCGATCTATCATTGTAAAAGTATCATCGCGGCTTCTTTCTAGTCGTTAGATCAGGGAGACTAAAAGACCGTCCATTGTTTTCACAGTAGTTGTTAGCTGTTCGGCTGGATCTATCTGGAATTAGTCACGTTTTACTATTTGACAGCTGATAGTTGTAGATCTCACCAAATAATCCCTTTTCCGTTGTATTTTTTTGTACAACTCGAGTTGTCTGAACCTACATGTTGAACAAAGACTTCTTTAATTCATAAATTATGCCCATTCTGGTGTCAAAATGATATTGCGGAGCAATTTCTTTTCGATAAATCTTTCCAGGTAATTGCTCTTACGAGCTTCATAATCATTAGTGCAGTAGCTATTACAAGCGATGCGACGCAAACTCGTAAATGTTGCGATCGGATGAACGGTGACTATCTATGTCTATTTGAACCCACTACCATTGACCACTATGCCAGAAGTAGTCAGCTTACCAGGCTAGGGCCACGGTAGGGTTAAACTCCGCATAACTGCACGCTGTTTCCACAGTTCCGGCTACAGTTGCTTGATCGCAGTTACTTCTGCTGTGGCCAATAGGCGCTTTCTGAGTCCTTTTGTGCAGCGTTTTGCTACTACCTACACACTACTCTGAAGGCCTCGTTCCTTTCTATGTTCTGTCCACAATCTACTAGGTGTTCTAGGATGGAGCTATGAACATTTCGGTGATACCACGCTGTAATGAGGCAGGACAGTGTTCCGCTATCCGCTTTGACAGACATCTGGTCATGTGTTTGTGGTATCTCGCGCCACAGATGCGAATGAAATGGTATGGGACATTGGATTCGGACTGTGCCGGAATTCTGTCTTTTAGACGGTTGGTGATGAGCGGAACGGTTTCGGTGTGATTGCGGACTCTGACGACCGGGTACGTTTGGTTTAGCGCGGAAGTCAATTTCTTACTCAAGAATTCGAACTATACGTCTCCTTTGAAAGGCACTGAGAGGAAAGTGTCTTTCCTTCTTACGATCATTTTCGGCTCAGGCTCAGCTCGGAGCTGGGAATGCTTTTTGATGAAAGCAGTTGGGTACCCGTTGCTTTCTAATGTCTTGACTATGGACTTTTTTGCGCTTCAGGGCTGCACTCTTTTTAGCCCGATTGTACAGGCAACATACAACTTTTGTTTGTACTTTATCGGTACGAAACTGGAAATACGTTTACTGACCTACCTAGTTTGGCTTGCGGAAAACCTTTCTTTCAAGCGATCCGTCCTCTCCTCGTCGCAGCAAAACATCGCAAATAGGCAGCCTACTGTCCTCAATCTCGCAAGTGAATTTCAACCATGGGTGCGCGTTAAATTGTTTCAACAGGTGAACATGATCAGTATGAGAGTCGCAAACAATACACGTATCATCCATGTATCGTTTGTAATAATCAAAGGATGTGATTAGGTGTCGTTCACGATGGCAATGAAAGGTTACTACACCGAGCGTGTTTACTTCGGAATTTGCTCCGACACTGTAGATGTTTGTCCATTGTGATTATCTGTTTAATGAACTGTTATGCAGTCTCAATCGGCTTCTATTTTCTGTGGCTACGGAGTGACCTCATCTGTTACCATTTTTTTAGCTTGGCCACTGTACCTTTACACAAAGTTGTCAGCAGTTTCAGTTTTCTATCCTTGCCAAGCATCTACATCTGACTGTTGTCTCGATGATTCCACCTTATTGTACATTATCGGGACTTCGCATTAGTGGGAACCGCATGCGCTTGTGTATATTCGGGGCACATGCTTACTCAGTACACGATGCGGCAATCTGTCTTGAACGCTTGGGTGCCTCGTGATTCCCATTTCGAACTGGCTCACTCAGTCCAGGACACCCTAGTGGTTCATCTAATCTGCTTTCATTGTACATTCCATTCGCAATTTTTCATCTCAGTGGATGCTTATTTTATCACACAGGCATATCATGCATGGTTTCCATTTATGTGTTTTTCAGCGTCGAAGCGGTTAACTGTTTGCGAACTATGCTGCCGAAATTTTAAACCAGCCGTTGTGGACACATGTGTGCAAATCGGTGGAACTTGTGCTGTTTGCAGGAGCCATTTCTTATCAGACCTTATGTACATTTCTCTCCCCGTACATACATTTGAGTGCTCTCCAAATGCTTCTGTTTGGTCACTTTTTCACATGCGCTTTTATCGCGCACCAGGTCAGAGTACGCGAACTCTCCCTCTCTTATTTCTCTTAGTCAAGACTTGTCCGCTTACATGTGGACGACAGGTTGTTTGCCTAGGAGCACCTTATTGATTGCGATGTGGCGACTCCGACACAGAGTCTGGAGATCGCATTGTTATGGCTCCGCTTCTCCCACTTTATTGACAACTTTCACGTAATCTGGTCACTTTGTTCGACAGAACATAAGCTAATTGGTACAGTCTTAAAATGGATGTTTCTGCACCTATACAGCCCCCATGCTATATACATAACTTGTATAATTCTCTACGATGCGAGAAGCTGTTCCCTAAAAGCAACAGATCAAAACTTGTTGCATCATTTTCATGCTATTTCACTAGTAATTCTTCAAAAATAATTGTGGGCACAAATTTCAAATTATCTATTGAGGTGATCAAAATCGTTCTGCAGTTTTTTCACGTGTCATTGATCCAGGGTTCTTCACAATCACATGACAGACGTTCGGACCGAGAAAAAATGAAGTGAAAGGTGCTTTGGTCCCAAATTTATATCTATGAGTTGGTAGTACTTTATTCAGGCGTCATCGATACGTTCTCGAAAGCGTTATCCAGGGATTATAATGTCGCGAACATATTAATCGTGTTCTGGATGGTTAACTGCCTACTCATCGCAAGTTTAAAACTACGCAGTGTGTAGTATGTTCTGATATCTCTTGGAAATTTGTTCCAAATGTGTGTACTGGACTAGAAAAAGTGGTTCTCTGATTCCCGTGGTAAGTTTTGGGGCCGTGACCTTTATCTCCTTGTTGCAGATCAGGCATCTGCTATATAAAGACGTGAACGCCTCATCAAAACTATGGATTTTGATGGTGTATGATTGCGTAGAGAAAACACAGATTCAGCTTCATTCTCATTCATTGGGTCAAATCCAAGCTTATCACAGCGTTCTCTATATCCCATCTCCTTAGAATAACCATAGCTTTTTCGAGAAGCGTCGCAGGATCCTCTCAATAGCATATTCGTCCGATTTTCGATATTCGATTGGATTAATAAGCAATGTTCCATGCATGTCAATACATGTTTTGTAAAGCCAAATGTGAGATTCCGTGACACGTATATACACGTTAGCTGCAGGTGGAAAACACCCCAGCTATTGTGCCGCAATACTAAAGACCATAAGAAACAAATACAACAGTGACACGCCGGCTGAGTCCCCAGTAGTGGATGGACATCGTTCCGGAGAGCTAACAGCCGGCTATCGTGCCGTAAAAATAGTTATATTATGCCTAGCGCATGAGACCGTGATTGGAGGGGGAGGCTAAGCAGGAGAGGATGGAAAAAGGAACTCACAACGCAAACTCCATTTGGGCCGGCTGCTAGCCATATCAGCAAGTGTATGCAGCCAAACGTGTTCATCATCCTTAGGATCCCAGCCAGGCAGTCGGGATGCACTAACCGATGCCAACTTCGAAGTAAGGGTTTTCATTTCTCTCGACCCAATCATCGCTTGGCCTCCTCTTCCAACCGCACGCCCGGCGCGCAAACAATGCATGTCGCGCGAGTCGGTGTTCTGGCATGCGCAACACGTGGCCTATCCATCGGAGCTTCGTATGTGATATAATGGTGCGGAGCGGTTCACTCGCTCTTCGTGCACCAAATACGCGACGCTGAACACGCGCATTGCTCACGACGTGCTCCCACCAGCCATGGGCTAAGCTGCGAAGGCAGGGATAATCGAATGTGACGAGCCTCTTTATGTCCGTCTACCTGAAGGCCAAGTTTCACAACCTTACAGCAGGGTTGCACGAACGGCTGCGTTATAAATTCTGTCCTTTATGTCAAGAGTAATGTCGCGTCTGCGCCAAAAGTGGCGGAGATTGGCAAAAGCACCTCGAGCTTTTGCTATTCTATTCGTAACCTCATCTTCGATTCCACGGGCGCTAAAATGTCTGCCCCAGTACTTGGATTCTTGAATGACTTTAGTTGATCACCACAAAGCGTTAGCGCAAGAGTGGGTTCCTGCCAATCTTAGAGAAGTATTTTGCATTTCGATGTAGCAAAGCAAAGCCCAGTAGCCAGTGCTAATCGGTCCAGTGCTGCTTGACATGTTTGGGAGCTGTCACAGATTAGGGTAATATCGTCTGCGTACTCCAAGTCAATAAGTCGCTCACCAGGAAGTAGCTCCACACCTTCTAGGTCGTGTCCAGCGAACGCTGTCTCCATGACTTCGTCAATAGCGCAGTTGATGAGGAAAGGCGACAGTGGGCAACCTTGTCTCACACCGCTGGTGATGTTGAAGGGTGGCAACAGTCTGCCATAAACCCTAACTCTGCCCGAACTATGCGCGTACAGCGCTTTCATAATGTTTACGTACTTATTAAGCGCACCTTTCTTCAGCAGTCAGTGTCAAAGGGCTCATCGATCGACTGAGTCGAAGGTACTTTTTATACCAAGAAACACGACAGGGATGGGTCGCCAAAAACATGGCGGTGCTCCAACAATTGACGCAAGTTGGAGTGGTCGATGCAGCCCCGACCTCGACGAAACCCGGCTTGCTCTTCACTAATCTGGCCTTCACGAGTGCCAGTCAGTCTATGAAGAACGACAGACACAAACAATTTAGTAGCAATTGAGATAAAATTGATCCCTCTATGATTGCCGTATTCCGAACGGGAGCCTCCCTTGAAAATTGTGACTATGACGGAGCGCTTCCAATCTGTCGGGACAGTCTCCTGCTCCCAAAGTTTCATTAGCAACTCAGGGAATCATCTACTATACCATTTCTCATTTGCTAACATCCGTAACGCAATCGCTTACATCCTTAGTGCAGAAGCTCTTCTCTTTAATGCAAAGGCTATCATACGATAATCATCGCACTTGCATCTACTTAACACTGCGTGGGCAGAGGCTACCAACCAATAGAATTCGGTATGGGGTGGATACTGAACACAGTTACGCACAGAATACTCACGCTTTCGGAGGTGGGTAGGAAAACTGTGAGATTTGGGTGAGACTAGCGTGGTCCAACTCAAGTAGCCGGCAGTTGGGACTACTAAACGGAGCTCAGCCGGTGCACAGTGTGCTGCACACCCTCACTGGACAATGAGAGTGCCTGAGACCTCCATTGGAGCGCGCACAGTCCCTGATGGAGACGTCAACACAGTGAGTTGGTAACGTGTGTTTCCAGATCATCAACATTGTAGATCGCTGCGGTAGTAGAGTAGGACCCTACCTCCTCTGCTGGGACGGTCGTTCCGGATGAGTGACATTCCGGCTATCTCAAACTCAGCATCAGTCACCTCTTGGTGTAACCACGTTTCGGTAATAGAAAATAGGTCCGAAGCATTTGCAACCTGACGTAGTCGAAGTTCGCTAAGTTTACTGAGGAGCCCTTGGGCGTTAGTGTACATACAGGAAAGTTTCTCAGGTGTAAGCAATGTTTCAGAGGTTGTACAACTCATACTGTAGAGGGGCCGCTTCCAAGAATGCCTCGGGGGAGCTCTTCGGAGCTAGCTGAGAGCGGATCGCGAAAGACGGCTAGCGACGAGCCTGGGCCCGGAACTACGGAGCGGGAAGATATGGACAGCACAATAAATCAGACGAATACGCCGCTAGCGCAGCCCACAGGACCGAGGCCGAGCCGATTGACACGGCCCAGAACAAGCAAGTCGAGAGCTCTCGAACGACTCCTGGCCGATCCAAATCGGGTGCAGAGAAGCGGAGATCGAGGCGAAAACAGGAAGGCGGGACTTCCAAGTCAGAGCTCCCGAAGCGAAAGGACTGGCTCGCCTCTAACATCCGTACCTGTGTTGCGAGGTGGGACGGAAATCTAGTCAATATTCGATGGCGCGCGCGAGACCCTCATGTGCCCATTTTCGGTGTGCAATAAACGTCTACCCCCCCTGTCGTGTCGTTCTCGCTACACTGGTGCCGTGACCAATCGCGATGGAGTTGACCCGGTTGGAGCAATTTGCGGCCGGTGACGTGGAGGCGTGGCTCGATGAGTTCGACGGAATTGCGGCTTGCACGGGTGTGAGGGGGGATGCAAATTTGCTAATTGCTTTGGGCACACGGTTGAGTGGACGAGCCAAGGCGGTGTATCTGCTCACTCGAAAGGCCAAACCCGGTTGTTCGTTCGCTGAGATGAGGGCTGCCTTGTGTGCAGAATTTGGGAAGGATCTGGAGAGAGAACGAGCACTGCAACGATTTCACGCAGCCAGATGGGACGAACAGGAGGATTTGATGGTGTTTTTCCAGCAGCTGGACAGACATCTAACGATTGGGCTCCCCGAGTTAGAGGGCAACGCAAGAGAGCGCCTACTGAAACAGCAGTTTATCCGAAGTCTGCCCGATCCACTCCGTGATCAGGTGAAATTGGCGTCGATGGTGGGAGACAGCAAAGCGTTGGATCTGGTGACAGTCGCCCAGAATTTGTCGGAACGAGTGACAGTGAGAAGCATCCAGCATGCTGAGTTGGAAAAGAAAGTAAATCGCCTATCCGAAATGGTGGAGCAGCTGTTGGCGATAGAGTCTTCAAGCACCACTTCACAACGCAATGTACGGGCAATCCGGAACGGTCGCCGCTGTTTCCGATGCAACCAGAGTGGTCATGTGGCGAGATTCTGCACCAACGTCAATGTGCCCCATTGTTTCTCTCTATCCATGCCGAGTCGGTGGCGAGTACCAGTCCTCCAGGTAACTATAGAAGGTGTGTCTGTCCGAGCCATAGTAGACACAGGAGCGGCAGTGTCAATTACGAAGAGGTTCAATGGGGTTCCAGTAAACCCATCTTCAATCACGATGCAGACGGTCGGCGGGCATTCTTTGAAAGTGACGGGCACGCAGCGGTTACGAATCAGGATAGGAGAAACGCTCATCAGCCATGACATGTT